TAACACGTACTTGAGGCTAACCAGATGCAGCAGCTCCTGGGGAATGGTCGTAAGCAGATTATGCGAAAAGTCGATCCGAGTGATGGCCGTCAGTGAGACCTCAGTAAGCCTCGGATGCGTCTGCAGCTTGGGATTCAGCAGCAGTACGCCGCTGACGAGCCACGGAATACGCACGACAGTCAGCTGAACGTTTGAGCTTAAGCTGTGCCAATCGATAATGGTGGGCACATTGGGGAACATGGCGCTGTAGGATATGTTGCTCGTGGAGGGCAGAAACACATTAACCTCCACCGGTGTGGGTAGCCCCTTCTTATTGATCTTGTAGTCTGAGTCTGGGTGGACGCGGCGTGCCAGCAGGCGACTCAAAATCGCCTCGTCGCCACCGGCTAGGGCCATGCTGATGGCTGAACCGTTGTCGTCGCGGGCGCCGTGCTTTAACAGCAGATCCAGCATGGCCAGGGAACGCTGCTTGCAGGCCTCGGCAATCGGGACATTACTCAGTCCGTAGATCTCCTCGCTGCACTTGGGATCATTCTGATCCTCCACGGGCTTGGCCACAATGTTCGGATTGGCGCCATGCTGCAACAGCGACTGCACCACATCCAAATGGCCGCCACGGACAGCCGCCAGTAGGGCTGTTTCTCTCGCGGCACCGCAAAGCAAATTTACGTTGATCGGACAACGCTGCGATTCTGTAGACTCGGCTGGGGGCTGCTCCTCCAAGGCCTCCGATTCGCCGGATATATGCAGCTTCGACATGATGGCTTGGATGCCAAAGGAAATTCGCTTCCTAGTCGGCGTTATGGGAGTGCTCACCGAACTTGCAGAATCGCCCAGCGTCCTTCTGCAGTGAAGCTGCCATTTTAGCAGGACTCCTACGAGCTGCTTGTTGCCCAAAATGCTGGCTATGTAGAGACTCGTCTGCCCCGTGACATCATGGGCATTGGCATCGAATGGCAGCCGCCACTCCCACTGGCCCTCCTCGTCGCGATATGTCTGATAGAGGTAGTCGGGATATTTATAGCCTATCAGCAGCTCCAGCAGCTTAATGTGGCCGTTGATGCACGCCGCATGCAGGGGCAGCCAGCGCTCCACTGTCGGCTGTTGGATCAGCTCTGGAAAGCGGTCAAGCATCAGCCTGGCGATGCCCATATGGCCACTGTGGACGGCTGCATACAGCGGGGAGTACTTTGTTACCGCATGGGATCGTCCATCAGCTCCGGCGTCCAGTAGCCGTTGCGTGATACTCTCATAGCCAGACTGGCAGGCTCTAAAATTGAAAGTGTGGTTAGAAGTGACGAAGCCGTTGGGGATACCACACCTATTCTACTCACGTGAACAGCAACGTGTTGGCGCCGGATGGTGCCATATTGACTATAATCTGCCTCTCGGTTCCCAGCGCCGACAGAAGGACACGAACCGTGCGCTCATCCCCCTCGCTAACAGCCGCCCTGAGCTCTCCATGCTTGATCTGGCGCACTTCCTCCCGGGCATCTACCAAAGAAACAAAATATGTATTTAGAATAAACATATGGATTATGAGGCCAACACCCCTCTACCAAGTCTGGGCCCTCCTGGGCCTCCCGAGCCGTATGTGACCTCATCGACGAAATAATCGCACGCCTCTAAAGCTGTTTCGGTGCCAGGCTTCGGCTCCTCCACAAATTTCCAGGACATTATGCAATCATTCCCAGCACACCGCCCGACAGACTAGCCACAAAAATTAATAGCAACGTCTGGGCATTGAGAACACTCGATCCACACAGCTCGCTGATTGAAACTTAAATGAGGCCGCCCGCTATAGAAAAATCGATTGGACTCTGTCATTAATACGTCTGGGGCCAGGCCACGCCGTCGTTCCGTGGTCGTTGATCCAAAGCCCGAAGCCAGTGCGCAAGACGAGTAAAAACAACTGTTGCGGGTGGTCAAGGACCGACAGTCCCGTCATTGATTTGTTTGCGCGGGCATTGGGTTTTATGCTTTGGATGTTTGGGTGTCAAATGGCCCAATGGTTGAAGCGCACCAGTTGCTCTCCCATTGGTTGGTGGCGGGGTTGGGTGTGTGGAGAAGCATTTTCAAATTACCAGCTTGGCGCGCATCGTTCCCAGCATCAGAGGTGGAGGGGGTCACACTGTTCCGTGTTGTTGAAAAACCAATAACATTTTTGCAGGGGAAATTTACTGGCTGGGCTGTGATTTCATGCGGGTAATGGCTTTTTAAATATCACCACACACTCCCCACACATCATACATACATGTATGGGCATATATTATATATAAGTCGGGTTGTCGTAAACGTTTATTTCTGCAATTCTGACTCAGAGCAGATATCTCACCTTCATCGGAGTCGCTCATCGCTTTGTCAAATGATCAGCATTTAATACATTGCGCACTCTCTTTTACTTCCGAGTTTTGTCAATTTCACTAATTTTAGACATTTTGTACAACAGCTTTTACATTTATTTTGCTCGATTCACTTTGTTTACCTTTTTTACTAGTGGTGGGAGAACATCGATGTTTGGTTCAGATCTGGCAGCTCTACTGCAATTAACATTGATTTTCGATAAAAACAGTAAATGTGCTGTTAAGCGCATGTGACTGTTATTCACACATATTTTTCAAATGAGACCGTATATTTCGGTGCTGTTCTGAGGGTCATACTGTAGAAACTGGTTTTCGCCGCGCTCCCATGTGGTATTTTTTAGTGCTAAATGGTATTTTTGTCATTTATTAAATTCATTTTCAATGTTATATAAAAATCCAGTAAAAGCAAGTATTTGGAATAGACCAATCATGTATAGAATTGATTCATCAATCGTACAAAATTGAGTGGGCATGGCTAAATGTTCCATATAGATAGTATTATTCAACGGAATAAAGAATTGGTCGTTTTTTTTAATCGAATTTGATTTCGCCGCAGTTCGCCGCAGTTCGCTTTAGCAACAGTGAGTCTCGTTCCATAAACAATGTTGCACATTCCATACACACTGTTGCGGCAACATTTACTTGAAAACCGTATTTAAGTCAAAATAAAATACATTAAGGTAATTAAAAGAAGCAATCTTGTAGAAAATGCATTTATCTATGGGATAGAGCTAAGTGGGCATCTATAGCTTGAAATATAGGCAATACCCGATTCGCCACAGTTTCGTTTTTGCAACAATGAGTCTCATTCCATACACAAACATGTTGCTAATTCCATGCACTCATACCCTGGGGGAAGTGGATGATATAGAATTGCGGAAATGTGTGTCATCCTATGCTCTATATAATGCAGAAACTAGTCAGTATCTATTTTAAACGATATTTTCCAATTAGTGGTCTTCTTACAGAGACAAAGAATCGCTACAGGGATCAGGTTTTATATACAAACACCTAATCAAATGCATGAATAGACCAAAAAAATGCAATCTAAAACAAGGTCTTTACTAATTACATTTGAAAGCAGCTTGGAAAACAGTATCTTTATATAATATTCACGAAATAGGGTATACAAACGCCCATACCCTGGTTGACAACAAAGAGTCTGCAAATACCAGCAACATTGACGTCACAACCTGCGACATTGAACATTTTTGTTGAAATCGTGTTTTTGTCAAAATAAAAGATTTTCGAGTACTTAAAAGTAGTTAATCCTAATCAAAATTGATTCAGCAATCATATAAAATTGTCTGGGCAAAAATAAGAGATCTATATAGCTGGGAATATTCGACGGAAGAAAAATTAACCAAGAATTAGTCGTAATAACCGGTTCACAACAATGAGTCCCATTCCATGCACACATACCCTGGGGGAAATGGATGTTATATAATTGTGAATGTGTTTGTCTTCCAAGGCTCAGTAGGTATCAGGATCGACATAAATATATACAAGATACTAATAAGGTACTTGAATATGTCTAAAGAATATCAATTTGAGAAAAGGTCTTAATAAATTACGTTTGATCTTTATATAAAATTAACGAAATAGGGTGCACAAAGGCCTATACACGCATCATGTCTTCAAATACCAGCAACACTGCGACTGTTTTTTTTGTTGAACTATTTTGTTTAAACCTCTTTTTATGCAAAATGCAATAAAAGCAAGGATTAAAAACTATCCAATCTTGTAGAAAATTGATTCATCAATCGTAGAAAATTTAGTGGGCATGGCTAAATGTGCTATATATATAGTAATATTCCACGGAAGATAAAAAACGAGGAATATGTAAAAAGAACTTCAATTCGTCAGTATATTCACGGTATATTTTTAAAATGAGACCGTATATTTTGGTATATTTTTGAGGTATATCTTATCGATAAATCCGCGGTCACACTGTTTCAATACAAAATAAAAACAATTAAATAATTTTTTTGTATCTGATTTTTTAAAAATATTGCGTGCGTCATATACACCTCGTTGCGAGTATACGGAGTCGTGGTTATGAGTGAGTGCCGGTGCCGGAATACAAGTAAATGGGCAACAATAGAGCAGCTCACACCCAAAAATAAAAATAAGAAAATGTGATAAAGTGGGAGATAGCATAAAAGAAAACAAATGACTCTTTAAAAACAACGATCTGCTTGACTGGGTGGCGGGGAAAATAAGGGCGGTGCTGGATTCTCTGGCGTTTCGTTTGCTTTTCTTTTGGTGGCTGTAATTTCCTTTTCCACGGACCTTTGCATATGCGTTTTTGTGTGTGTGTGTTTTTTTGTGGCATCCCGACTTAGAGATGAGACATCGGTGCCGCGTAACTGTAGAATGCCCTTTCCGCGAGCTCTCGATACACCTGTTCTGTGATGGAATTTGAAATGTGAGGGCGAAACCAAGGCCAGATGGAATATTTGGTGCACTTGAAAACTGTTTCCACTGGAAATTGACTATTATTTCTTGGGAAATAAAATTCCTTCAAGTCCACAAAAAGCCGCATTGGCATATTCTCTGCAATTCGGCAAAAAGAGTATTAAATCTTCACCATTCGCATGGCCATCATGGTTTATTCTTGTTTTTGTGTTTAAGGTCGCCGCCGCCGCCGCACCACCCCTCCCGCTGGCGTATGGGTGTGTGTGATTCATACTAAATATAAAGTCAACGCTTTTCTTTTAGTTCGGAAGAAGTTTTAATTTTGGATGCATAGTTATGCCCCGAATTTGTTTCAAATTTAATGTGCCCCATAAAAATAGATCCAAGTGATAATCCGAATGGCTGTAAAAAGCGGGCAGATACGACCAAATGTTTCCGGATCTCAGTGCAACGGAACCACAACATTTATTACGGGGCTGCTTCTGGCGCCTATCTAACCGGCGGGCGGGTAATTTCCGTAATCGAACACTGCCAATCCTCCCTGCCACTCAATACATATGTCTCCGTCTGCTTTTCAATAACCCGGGCGCCACCTTCTGATTTATTATTCACAGAGAGATCGGCATGACTAACAATGAGATTGCGGCGCTGATTTAAATGGAAAACTTTGAAAACAACAACGCGCCGAGCCTGGTGATAACGACAAGAACGAAAAACAAATACTAACAATTGCATGCAACAACGAAATAGACAACAAGCCCCAAAGGGACGCAGAGACGACAAGTAAACCAGTAAGACCAGTGGTATGCACCTGGTTGAGATCGGAGCAACGATGAACCGCACCGCCTCCGTTTCCCACAATTATGCTGCCTGTTTGCTGGACAACCGGCAAGCGTCCTATGCAGACCTCACGTACCCAGGCTGCGACATGCCCCCGACCGAGTACGCCCCATCCGACATGAGATTCTCTATCAATCTGTGGAAGAACGATCCGCCCGACTATGTCGATCTCATATGCATGATCCCGAATGGCACCCTGCTGATGATGAAGGCCCCCTCGTCGACCACGATACGGGAAATCAAGGTGGAGGTCGTCAAGATGGCGAAACAGAACTGCCTGGGCTATATGATCAAGGATGCGTGCGACTATCAGTTCTACGGAATCTCTGTGTTCAACATCGAACCCTACACGGACGAGACGAAGCGCCTGTGCGAGGTGCAGCCCCACTTTGGTCTACTCAGCCTGGGCGACCGCACCGATGCCACCAGCTTCTCCAGCGACTACGAACTAACGAAGATGGTCAGCGGCATGATTGGCAACTCATTCGACCATCACCGAACCCAAGGCACGCCCGAGATCGACGACTTTCGACGCAGCATGACAGATCTCTGCGAGAGCATCGAGGTGGAGCGTTCCCAGTTCACGTGGCAGCAGCGTCTCCTCTATGAGCATCCCCTGAGGCTGGCCGGCTCGGTGGATATGCCCGAGCTAATACGTCAGCGTCATCCAACATCCGCTTTTCTGATAGTCGTAAAGAACGAGAACGATCAGAGCACGTTCACGCTGTCTGTCATGGAGAAGGACACCCCGTTCTCGCTGATCGAGAGCACGTTGCAGAAGATGAACCGATCGCAGATGAAGATGAACGATCGCGCCGGCGACTATATACTGAAAGTGAGCGGCCGCGATGAGTATCTGTTCGGCGATCATCCGCTGATACAGTTCCTGTACATCCAAGAAGCACTCTCGGACTCGGCCGTGCCCAATGTGGTGCTGCAGTCGGTGATCCGCATGGAGTCGTACATCAATCACCACAACGAGCAGAGCATGGGCCTGAAGCGAGCCCCCAAGAAGGACCGGTCCGTGGTGCTCCATAAGGCACCCACATCGCTGTGGGATTTGGGCAACTACTTTCAGCTGACGCTGCACAGCATCAGCAACGTCAACTACGACAAGACACGGGCGTTCCGGGTGGGCGTTGATGTGGGGCTGTATCATGGCGAGCACAAGCTGTGCTCGCAGCGATCGATAGATGCGCCCAATGGCAGCTCGGACACGTTCCTCTTCAACGATCAGATCATGGACTTTGACATACAGATGCGCAATCTCCCGCGGATGACGCGATTGTGCATCGTCATCTTTGAGGTGACCAAATTGTCGCGCTCCAAGAAGTCATCCAACAACAAGGACAACGCCCAGAAGGACGTGTCGTACAACAAGAATCCCCTGGCCTGGGTCAATACAACGCTTCTGGACTACAAGGCTCATTTGCGAACTGGCCGACAGGTGCTGTACACGTGGACATATGCGGACGATATACAGTCGGACGAGGTGTTCCACCCGCTGGGCACCATCGAACCGAATCCGCGCAAGGAGGAGTGCGCCCTGGTGCACGTAACATTCCACAGCAGTGGCGCCGAATCCGTGCGCTATCCCTGCGAGAATACTGTCTTGCAATATGCAGCGGATCGAGCGCTGGCCAGCCTCCGCGAGAAGCAACAGCAGCCGGCAGAGCCCGAGAAACCACTGAAAGACCTCAAGGAGTTGGTGGCCAACTACACCGGCCTGGACAAGATCTATGAGATGGTGGACCAGGATCGCAATGCCATTTGGGAGCGCAGGTAACTACCAGTAAAACCATTCAATATCTGAAATTCTAATCTGTGTGTGATTGACTTTTTTAAGGAATGATGTCCTCCGCGAATTGCCAGAACAGCTGCCGATCCTCTTGCACTGTGTGTACTGGAAGGAGCGCGACGATGTGGCCGACATCTGGTACCTCCTCAAGCGGTGGCCGCTCATCTCGGTTGAACGATCACTGGAACTGCTGGACTATGCATATCCAGATCCAGCCGTTCGTCGATTTGCCATCAAGTGTCTACAAATTCTCAAGTGAGTGCACACTTAATGACTCCGTAAGCACCATAAGACTTTACTACAATCCCATTTCCATTAGGGATGATGATCTGCTATTGTACCTGCTCCAACTGGTGCAGGCCATCAAGCACGAATCGTATCTGGAGAGTGATCTGGTTGTGTTACTGCTGGAGCGAGCGCTGCGCAATCAACGCATCGGCCACTACTTCTTCTGGCATCTGCGATCCGAGATGCAAACGCCTTCGATGCAGACACGGTTCGGCCTCCTGCTGGAGGTCTATCTCAAGGGCTGTAAGCATCATGTGGCGCCGCTGCGGAAACAGCTGCAGGTGCTCGACAAACTGAAGCAGGTCTCTGTTTTAGCCAAGAAGGGCAGCAAGGAAAAGGTGAAAACCATGCTGCAGGACTTTCTGAGGGATCAGCGGAACACGGGCGTCTTCCAGAACATACAGAACCCACTGAATCCCAGCTTTCGGTGTAGCGGCGTCTCGCCTGACCAGTGCAAGGTGATGGACAGTAAGATGCGTCCGCTGTGGGTGGTGTTCGAGAATGCCGATCTGAACTCGAACGATGTGTACATTATATTCAAAAATGGCGATGATCTGCGCCAGGACATGCTCACACTGCAGATGCTGCGGGTGATGGACAAGTTGTGGAAACGAGACGGGTAAACTTGAATCACACTTAGTACTCCTTGTGGCATTTTCGACAGTTTTTTTCCCCTTTTCAGCATGGACTTTCGCATGAACATCTACAACTGCATCAGCATGGAGCAGCGCCTGGGCATGATTGAGGTGGTGCGGCATGCGGAGACGATTGCCAACATACAGAAGGAGAAGGGAATGTTCTCGGCCACGTCGCCGTTCAAGAAGGGCTCGCTGTACAGTTGGCTCAAGGAGCACAACAAGCCCGCTGATAAGCTGAACAAGGCCATCAACGAGTTCACGCTTAGCTGTGCCGGCTACTGTGTGGCCACCTATGTACTGGGCGTGGCCGATCGTCATTCCGACAACATAATGGTCAAGAGGAACGGACAGGTAAATCACTTTATCGAACAAATTTTGTACAAAAATTAAATCCTTGCGATCCATCCTCAGCTCTTTCACATCGACTTTGGACACATCTTGGGACACTTCAAGGAGAAGTTTGGTGTGCGTCGTGAGCGTGTACCGTTTGTGCTAACCCACGATTTTGTGTACGTCATCAACAAGGGCTGTAATGATCGCGAGGCGAAAGAGTTTTGTCACTTTCAGGAATTGTGCGAGCACGTATGTCAACTTCAATCAGTCGGAAGTCGGCAGGACTGTAGTTTTCATTCTATTTAATTTTTTGCAGGCATTTTTAACATTACGCAAACACGGCTGCCTTATCTTATCGCTGTTCTCGATGATGATTTCAACAGGACTGCCGGAACTGTCCTCCGAGAAGGACTTGAACTATCTACGCGACACTTTGGTAAGTTCGAATCGCGTGGTAATCGATTGAAGATCCCTCATAGATCTTTATCTCCAGGTGCTGGACTATACGGAGGAAAAAGCACGCGAACATTTCCGGGCGAAATTCAGCGAAGCTTTGGCCAACTCCTGGAAAACTTCTCTAAATTGGGCCTCGCACAATTTCTCCAAGAACAACAAACAGTAAACGGACATCAACAAAATGCAGCACACGATCGTTGTGTGTTCCAAAACACTATCTCACCCCCACAGAAGCCCCAGAGGGATCATTCCCAATCCTCTCTGCTTATATTTACATTGGTAACACGCTCCGCAACAGACGGGCGTGGGTATCCGTAAAATGCATAAAACCAAGTTCAAAACTACATATGTATGTGTTCACTATGTTAGGCCGACCCACAAGCCCCCACAAAACCCACAGCCCCCCATATATGTCACACTATTGATGTAATCACTGCCACAAGTGCTCCAATATAATTTAATGTCCTGCCTCTTGGATTACCTAAATATATATATTTGATATTTGAACAATGACCCCTCCCCTTGGACCTTATTGTATTGTTTTTGTTGTTTCGAAACCTGTACAACCCCCCACACGTGCAGAAGAATGTATCCTATTATGCTTATGTATCTAATTAAGCGACATTTACTCCATAAGTTAAAAAATTAACTTTAATTTGTTTTCTCTCTCAAAAATACGATGATTTATATTGTGTACTGTACCATAATTTGTTTCCTTTCCAGCAACAAGCAAAAAACTAAATCAGAAATTATTGTGTGTGTGTTTCCTGGTTTCTTTTCTGTTCATTTCGTAGTGTTATAGTCTTATATGTATATGTACTAGTACTTGTAATGTATTTTGTAAATCGCTGGATAATTATAATTAAATGAAACGAATTCTACACATACATATATTTGAACGAGTGTATAGAATGTAATCGAAACAAGAAATATATAAATACATAACATATGTATGTACACCATGTGCTTCTACGAATGTATCTGTATTCGTCTCAACAACTCAATCGTGTTTCACTGGGATTGGGGGCGAAGCGAGCACTTTCACAGGGAAAAACCCAAATCCAAGCGGCGAACCTTGACCACCACACCCGATGAATATTATCTCGAATCGGAAGGGAAGGAACCTGATAATCCATAGTAGAAACGTCAAAACTGTTGTCGATGCCAGGAGGCCCATTCTAGCATCCGGTAGCATCCATTATCAATGCCATTTGATGATTATTACAAGACCTTATTGCACTTCGCCCATATATTGATCTTTCGCACCGGCCAGTAGGATTATAAAGGCCATACAGGAGGCTCTTATTTGCCAAATCACTGGAGGGGTTTCCAATGGTTGGTTGGTTCCAATGTTTCACAGCATCTACAGTAGTTTAATTTCATAAGATGATATCTCAGGAGACCGCTTCTTCTGCGGAATAAAACTGAGGGGAAAACTGGAATAAATTACTTGTCACACATTTAGTATAGGTTTTTATTTGACATCAAGTATTCAGTTTCAGTTGCATGTATACATACATATAGTATATGTATATGTATGCCTATATAAAATATATTTGTTTAAAACTAGTTTTGTTTCCGTTTTACTTTACACACATTCCAGCATCAAGAGGATGCAGTAATATTAAATACATATGTATATCTAAAACCCTTTTGCTTGCTGTTTTCCCCATTATGATCTGTCGGGCTATGCCGCTCCGCTCACTGGTGGATGACCATCAATGCCGGCCAGCGCTCTAATCAAACTGATGGTTAAGTCTACGACTACACTACGGATTCAATAAAATAAAACAAAACGTCGTACACAGTACCGATGCAAAAAAAAGGTAAAAGTATAGTAATAGTCCCTAGGCGCCTAGCTATTAGCTAATCAGTAGGTAGTAGAAACCGTATGGAATTTTCATGGAAATTAATATTTTTGTTTTGTTTTGTTTTTGTTTTTGCTTTCGTTTTTCGTTTAGTAAAAGGTTAACAGCAAATTGTGCAACATTTTGATACTTTTTTTCGCCTTGACCTCTAATGGAATCGTTTTCTGTGTATACATATACATACAATATATCAAATATACAGCATTTTGTTAAAATCCTTTATAAAAATAGGTGTATTAAATATATGGGTTGTTTTCTTGATTTAAATTTTTGTTGTTGTTGTGTAAAAATACTGTATATACAATTAAAATTATTTCCCTACACATAAACACGTACAGTACATACATATAAATAGTCATTTGATTTATATAAATAATTTAGAAAATATGAGAAACCGCGGTTCGTTTTTGTCTTTTTTGCGTTTAGGAATATAGTACTTTTTGTTGTTTATTTGTATCAGTTTCAGTTGTACGAATTTCGGCTTGAATTTTTTACTTTTTAGGATACATTTTTAATTTTTCAGTTTTTAGTTTTTGTAAATATTTTCTTTCCTTTGTTGTATATGTGAATTTTTGTACATTTTCATTTGCTTTTGATTGGGCTGCCATTGACAAGGAGCTGTACTAAGTAGAGCTATACAAATCTGTTGGAAATAGTAATGTGAATCATTATTATGAGGTTTAAGGCTTAAGCCTCATAAATAAAGTACATTAAAGGACATTAAAGAACGGGTTGTGATCGAAAGATAATATGGGTTTCACCACCAACTACAGGTCGATCCACTCGTATAACCTTTTCAAAAATAATGTTTCTGGGAATATTAAAATCTTTGGCTTGATCCTGGAGTAAAGCCAAAATCAATCCAAAAAGTTATTCCCGTGTGGGGTTTACAAACATCAAGCTACAATCGTATGCGGTCTATTTTGTACAACACTTCGTCAACTTCTGCCCTTTGGACCTCGCTTTGGGGGATATCATATCTAAAATGGATTCAATTCACCTGTAAAGCATCTGTTCCCAGATGTCCTGTGGTTTAGCTCTTCGTGTTTTTATATAATCCCTAGTTCTCTTTATATTTCTTTTTTAAAGGCACACGCTTTTTATAAAAATCTGTTCTTTTAGGTTTTGTAAAATACACTTTAAATGTTGGATGCTGCAATCCATAACTTTATATTTTTGTATCGTTTTTCTTCTTTTTTTTTCTAAAAAAATTCAGGTTCAGTCTGTTTCAAGGAAATGTTTTGATGAAAAAACGTAACTCTTTTTGTTTGAGATTCTTTAAGACGTGCAATTTATACATCCTATAGAAAAATGTGTTAATTGTATGGTTTTTACTTATAAGTTGGCAGAGAATAAAATTCCTTTGCATATTAAATATGTGTATCGAAGGGGTTCCATTTCTCAACTGATTGTATAAATAGTTTTTGTTGAAACATTGTTGGAGTCTGTTTTGATTTCCTTGTATCTCTTCGTTTCTTCTCCGCTATTCCACTCTTCTGTTCTGCTCTCCTTTCGTTTCGTTTGAATTTCCTGCCTTAATCGAGAACCTAACTAGATTTAGGCTTAGGCTAAAACAATTCGGTTACAACTAAATTAGCAGCGAGCTTATCAAATAATTGTATGTGTAGTTGAATGTCATCTTAAGCGCTACTAGTGCGGTAATGTACTTAACTCGATGGTTGCGCCCATCAACTGGGGCAGCTGGGGCGTGTGTGTGTGTGTGTGGTTGCGGTTGTGTGTGTGTGTGTGTGTGTCTCAGTGCTTCGACAGATTCAGTGGTAAGTCTGAAGGAATACAAAACAATATTAGCTCAGACTCAGTCCAAGTGTCAGTCTTAGATGGGGAGACTCACCTGAACTTTGTTCATTCCTTAGGCTACTATTATGAAACAATGCGGAGGAGGAGGGGCCGGCGCCGGAGGCAGCCGCCGAGGAGACGGATGCATTGGAGCTGGTCGGCGAAGTGGAGGCTGTGCGATGACTGGACGCTGCAGACATTAGATCGGTACTACTATCAGTCAGTTTTGGCGTGGCCAGGTGTGCAGGCGTGTGGTGTGTTAGTGCCGCGGGATGTGTCAGGTGCGTATGCGGATGCGGATGCGTATGCGGACTGGGGGCGGGCTGTCCAAATGCGGCGGCAGCTGCAGCAGCCGCTACAGCGGCTGCCCCGACGCCATTATAGGCAAACGGATGATACGGCGAGGGAGGTGACAGTCTCGCGGCTGCAGCCGAACTGCTGCTGGCCTGTGGATGCGGCGGCATTAGCGGCGAGGCTCCCGCCTGGTAATGGTGCACCCACAACGGGTTGTGCCGCAGGGCCGCCAGTGTGGATATGTAGGGATGGTAAAGCGATGGCGACACCACCGAGGGAATGTAGGCGGCAGCAGCCGCTGCTGCAGCCGCCGCCGCAGCGGCTGCGCTGCTGCCCGATGACACAGGCACCGTCGGGCTGCCCGATGATCCATTGCCGTTCACCTGCGGCGGTGGATACATATAGTAGTGCAAGGGCGAGCCGGAGGCTGGTGAACTACGCTGCAGATGCATCTGGTGGCGCCGATCTGGTGGCGATGTACTTCGGTCACCGGGCGACGGACAGCTGCTGCTGCTGGCCGTTGGCGAGGCAAACTCGCGGCGTATCGAGGCAGTCTTCTTGGGAACGGTGCGAGGTGTGGTGGCGGGGGAAGCTGTTGTGGAACGGGGCGGTGAAAGATCTTGCGACGCCACTCCTCCGTGTGAAATGTGTGGCGAAACGGCTGTGCCAGTCGACGTCGATGATCGACCCCCTGTTCCAGAATAATGATCTCTATAGAAGGAATGCCCATAGTCCACGGGCAGCGGCGACCCAGTCGTGTACGGGGGAGAGCGTTTCTTGCTGGCCGCATGTGAGGGCGACTTTCCACCGCCGACACCACCGCCATTGCTGCCGCTCACTTCGGGCGACTTGGGGGAGCTGAGGAGGGATCGTGGATAGTTTCCGGAATTGGCGTACAACGAATGCTGGTGATGCACATTGCTGATGATGGCCGCCGGATGGTCGATGGTCTTCTTGGAAGATGAAGAGGAGGACGACGAGGAGCTGCCACTGCTTCCGCCCAAGAGCGAGTGTATGCTGTAGGAGCTGTTCAGGCGTGTGGGCTGCTGCGAGGCCGCAGCCGGTGCTGGCGATGTAGTGGGTGTGCTAGTGCTAGTGCTAGGCTTTCCTTGAGGCGGTGCCAGATTCATGGGCGCTGACTTGCTGGGCGGTGCCGAAGCCTTGGCACGACTCCGTTTGCCACCGACCCCTCCACTGCTACTGCCTCCGCTGCCGCTGCCATTGTTCACGCAACCATTGTCCTCCAGCGACACCTTCTCAAACTCGCGCAGGATGCGCTTTCTGGGCGAGACATGCTGATGATGGTACTCGACTAGACGGCTGACTGCCGCGGCCGACGTTGGCGGCGAAACCTAAAAGATATTGTTAGTTGTCAGTTAATGGAATGCTCTTTCTGGTCCAATTATAGGGGGCAACTCACCTTGTGCGTCAGAGAGTGACTTAGATTTCCGATGGCTCCGCCACCGCTGCGCTCTGCTGCCGTGACTGCCGCCGCTGTCGACGCTGGTGTCTTGGACAATTGCTCTAGACGTGCTGGCACCCCATCGATAAGTT